ATTATAATGAATAAAATTCTAAAAATTTAAGTATAATTAATTAAAATTCTTTAAATATAAATCCAAATATAAATTGTCCAAACATAAATAAAAATTAATCCAACAAAAATAACTAAAATGTTAATAATGAGTTGGGTAAAATTTGGTTAAATTTAAATTTTATTGAATTGGATTTGGGTTTGAAAGTTAAATTAAATTTAAAATAAAATTAATTTACATATTTTTTTAAATTTTTCATGGGGATGGGGATCCCCACGGGGCGCCATGGGGTGGGGAAAATTCCCCACTAATTTTCGTGGGGAGAAAATGCCCCTCGTCCTCACCCCACGGGGAGGAATATTCCTCCTCGCCTTGTCCCCATGGCGGGGATCCACACAGGCCCCCGCAGGGATTGGGGCAAATTGTCATCCCTATCTCCAGCCAAACCTAACTTACGCAAAGAGTTTATTACTTCCACTTTGATATAGTACATGACTTATAGATCGAAAGGTAGCATGGCTAAAAAAGCAAGCCATTTATTTCAATGAGGTGTAAACTGCCATCAAGATTTCTTAACCAATATGTGCCTTCATCTAATACCTTGTGTGTTTGCAAAAGTTTCATATTGCTAGTGGAATGTCTCCTAGGTGGCATGCCTCAAACTGATTGTAGCATGCCTCTTCTAATAAGAACAAAGGCTTTAGTGTCCTTTTTATGACCCCTCCTTTTGTTTTCTTTGGAAAACATATTTGCTTTATTCTTTGCAGCCTCTTTGCTACTAGAGGTTGCATCTTGCTTCCTTGTGAAAATAAAAGGGACATTTGGAATGGAACTTGGAAGTTCAATAGTACACTCACCAAGGCTAATTGTTTTGCTGCACACGTTAAGCTCCTTAGTTACCTTTGAGTCATTTGACTTGAGAGAAACATGCTTGGTAAACATCTTTGGAGATGTAACTATATTGAGTAAATTTTCATTTGCCTCATGAGAGGTTGCACCATGTTTCTTCTTCTTCACCCAAATAAACCTTTGCCTCCCTATAGGTTGTTGCCTTTGGGAAAGATGCACCTTGGCAACAACATGCCCTCAATGGCTCTTAGCTCGTTTCTTTTGAAGTCACCTTTGAAGAGTCTTAAGATTTTGGGTAGGAAACTCTGGGTGGGCCATCAAAGTTATATGGCGATAATGCTTAAATTAACTTTGTTTATAGAGGCAGCATCTTTCCACACCTCCATACTTAAATACTTGATCAGACCTTCATGCCTCCATTTAGAGACATGGGTCTGTAACTTTTGCTCTCTCTTTGGTGTCCAATAGAGGTCTTTAGGTTTCCTCCTCCTTTTTCAAGTTGGTAGATGAGGAAGCATGGTGTTTCTCATGATGTCTCCATGTTATCCTTGTGTCTATGAGGAAAATCTACAAATTTTTTTATGAAAGACACCTTGAAAAGAATCATTTCTATTATAATTCTTTAAGTATGGCCTACAGCATGTTAGACAACATGGTGACCTACATGCCACTTGAGAGGACTTTGGCAACAAGTTTGCAAATTGTTGAGGTGGACTAGGCTTGTAGACATGCTTTTGTTGTGGCGACATTCTTTTGTTGTGGCAACATTCTTTTGTTGTGGCGACATTGATTAGATGCTTGAATTGGCATCAGGCTGCAACAACACAAACCTTGTTGATTCTTTTTTTGTAGCTTTGGGATCTTTATTAATAATAAGGCCTTGCAACCTTTATTATCCATTTTGACTAGGTTACCCCTTGAGATTGAAATGAACTTTCTTCCTCAAACTAATGATTTTAAAAGGATATTTCACCTTCAACCATTGTCCATAACTAAACTTGGAAAGGCTTCGACTACTAAGGAAGTATGTTGCCGTGAACAGTTCTTAAGCAAGGTAGAAAGAATATGCTCGTCAATCTAAAAAGAAATAAAAATAGATGAAGTGGATACCTTATTAGATTTATGTACTAATGCTGACTAAAGTGGTGCCTTTTGTGTGGTAGCATCAACTTGTTGTCAACCATCAGATGGACCTTGATTAATAAATTGCTAACATGTCTTCAATTGAGTTGGTATGCCTCCTAGAAGTAAGAGGACTATTGCTATTATTAGTCTTTGCAGACTTAGAATGGCCTAGAGGCATACTTGCTGAAGTCACCTTTAAAGCTACATGGCATCGTTGACTTTGGGTAGCATGTTGTAATTGTGATTCATGCCCCCCAAGTGTGATCATGGGGTTACTCTTTGGCCCTATTGTTGTCTGACCTTTATTCGTTATAGTAGTTAGCATCTTTATCATATTCTATGATTTGAAAAACTATTTTAGAGTTCTTAGAGATGTGGCTACAAGGCACTGTTTTGAATCCTCCTTTAAGACCTCACTTTTGGGTTGAAAGGTCTTAAGTTTTTTATGATATCTTTCTTTAATTTTCTAAACCTCTTGTTTGCATTTTCCAATTTTTTTCCAACCACCTCCTATGTTCCTCTTGAAGCCTTTCAAATTTCTAATTAGTATCAACTATTATTTCAGTGAGTGATTTGGAAGACTCATTGCCTATTGTTGCCTTCTCATCATATAGTGGATTGACATAAGAGGAAGTACATGGTGGAGTCATGAAGAACTTCTAGCAATCATCAGAATAAAGACCTGTCAAGGTAACACAACCTAATAATAGAAGATATGATCAACAAACCTGTGAAACCCAAGGTGGGTCGCACCAAGAGTGCCATAAAGAGATTGTTGTCTTCAAAATCTCCCTTTCTAGTTGCATGGCAGATAAAACTACGAAGGTGTGCCACTCACTTTACTAAAAGTGAGAAAGAAGGATTCTTGGCAACCCTTACTACTTCCAAGTGTGGAACTCGGCTACAAGTCAATGGAAGAGCACCGATTAAATAAATTACAAGATGTGCCTTGGTCAGAGGCATTCCTACATAAAGGTCCATAAATAATTGCCTTGGAAGAATATCAGGAACTTCCCACGACTAGGGCTAAAATCAAAGTAGTCAATACCGTACCGGTATGTGTACCGGTTTTGCTACTGCAACGGTATGTACTGGATATCAGAATTTTTCGTGTACCGTTTCGGATTTATTGCTATAAATATATATTTTTATAAATTAAATATCAAAATTTAAAATAATATAAGAAATACTAATATTTAAAACTATGATATTCTTATAAATTAAAAATAAGTTTAAAATAATCATTTTTAGTCTCTCAACTTTTAATATATGTATATTTTTCGTCCATCCACTTTAAATTAAGGGACTAAAAATATTTATATTTAGATAAATTTAACAAAATAATTGATAGAAAGACTAAAAAAAATGAAAAATGAACTAAAAAAGTACATAAAAATGATAAAGGATAAAAATTATATATGACATTAAAGTTGAGGATCAAAAATGAAATTTACCCTTTTAAATTTGAATTTGAATTGTACGAATAGTTCCTGTGTATTGTAGTTGCAGGCTTTGGAAAAGCCCTTAGCCCAAAACGACATCGTTTTGGGCTAGGTGAATCTTTTTTCTTTTTTTTTTTTTAATTTGCAGTGTGTACTGGCCGAAATTCCAGTGAACTGGCCGGTACACCGAAATTTCGGTCGGTACACCAAATTTTGACCAAAATGATTGGATTTTGATCGAAACGAAAATTAATATTATACCGTTTCTGTTAATTGTCAAAACCGATACGGTCGGTACGGTATGGTTTTGACTTCTTTGGCTAAAATGCTAATTTGCTAACCAAAATAAAAGAGAAAAATAAAGGAAAAGAGAAGAAAGAGAGTGCATGGCAAGAAACCTAAATTACAGAGAGAAAGCATGATGTCATTGTGAGAGCATGAAAGTGTAAAAAATGAAATAAAAGCTAAGCATAAAACTAACTTAAAAGAAGCTACCATGATGAATTTATGGCAAAGTGTAGTAAATTGAACTGCAAGAAACTAAATACATTAGTGGAGATGTTCACAACAAAATAACAAAAACTAAAACTAAAACTAATGACAAAATAGAACTAAAGACTAAACTAGGAAAACTATTTGAGAAAGTTAGATCTAAACTAAGATATTGCTTTTGAAACTAAAATGTAGATAGTGCTGGGCTAGTTGTGTGAAAGGCAAGTCTTGCTTGGTTTTTTATTTGCCTATTTATAGCAGTAAACACTTCTTAGCACCATGTTGGAGATCTGCGACAACATGTTGGAGATCTGCGACAGCATGTTGAAAAACTAACAACAGCATGAAATCCACAACAAATTGATTAATTTATTGGAAATTTGCAACAAACGAACAACCTTATTGCTGTTGTGGAAACATTCACTAAATCTTATTTGGAGAAATCTACATCAATAACATTTCAACAAACAAAATTCCTTCCAACATGGATACTACATGGCACTATTCTATTTGTTGCAAAAATGGGCATAAACACATTCATAGTTCAGAAAGATAAATAATAAAAATTTTGTATAAGTTATGTATGTAAAAATTTTATATAAGCCAATCCTAACTCATGATTACTCGGTACTTAGGTCTAATATTTGATAAATATCTATTTTTCATAGTCAATATTTAATTTCTTCTCAAGGTAAAATACTTGTCTATAAAGGTCAGCTACTCACAGATATCAAGTTAGCTGTAGCTGACGCTCGGCCCATACCCAGCCCATACCATGCCTATCATGGCCCAAAGGACCGTCTAAGTTGTCAAACCCAGCACGTTGCAATTACAAAAGGCATAAATCACATATTTCTCCCAAATTGTTGTTTTAAGTAACTTTTCATTCTAAAAAAGTGTCCATATAATTTATCAGTTTAAATTTTTATTTTTTAAAAATTAATTTAAATTTACTGATTTTTGTTAAATTTTATTAAATAATTACTCTTAACTTTTAATAAAAAAATTAATGATAATAGTTATATTTAGTCTGATTTCCAAAATAAAAATTTAGGTTACCATTTGCGTTAACATTTTATATATATATATATAAAAATTTGCTTCAACGCAACATAATTTTGGATTTTGGGGCAATTTGCACGTTTACCCATTAATAAAGGCTAAATTTAATTTTTCA